AATAGTAAGGAGCTCAAAACAGTTGTGAATAACCTTGAGTTTTCGTTTAAACTCGTAGTTAGTCATTTGCTGTTCAACGAGTAACTTAACCATAGTATTTATAAATGAATAGTTTGTTTATGGGTGTATATATTTTCACATACTCATTCAGATGGCGAGCAGTTCTTTCTCATTTAATCTGTTTAGTAGGAATTTAAGTCACCATCAAGTGATCATACTATCAAGTAGACCACATTAATCATTTCAGTATTTTACCAAACTGACTGCATCATCGTAAAGTGTTGATGATTGGAGAGAAATAACATTATCCAAATACAAAATTGCAAGTTTTTTAAAAGGTAGTTAAAATGAACTCTCTGACTGTATACGTCGCAATGAGTAAAATATTCATTACCTTGAATCACACTGTTTTACTTCGAGCATATAGTTAATAAAATAAGTTTAGAAAACAAACCCATAAGTAATCTTGATGCACTAAAATGAAAAATTATTTCTTATTATGTTGATGAGAATATTTCTAACTAAACATCGGATCTAAGAACTGTGCTTCAGTGGTCATATATGATAATGTAAAGTGAATCCTGATTAAAACATCAGGTGGTTCGAAAATTCTTTAATAAATACTCGATTACTTACTGAGTCAAACAGTTAATTTGTGATAATCATGCAGATATAGTTCTGGTTCTTAAGTTTGATATAAAGACAAATATATTGTTGATCTATTTATTGCATAGAAATACATTTAATTTCATTTGTTTGCAATATAAAAATAGAATTTGTTTATCCTTATTTATTTAACTGAAGACTATAATGTCAGTTTAACTAGAAGAATGTAATCAAGAGAGGCAATATAATAGTACCATTTGATCAGTGCATGCTACCGAAATTTTCCGAAATGTTTTCATTAAACGCTTTTGTTCGATATAATCCTCACGTAACTTATTGAGGACATATAGCATTCAATACTATTGTCATCTCGATTAATAGAATATACTAAGTCTTGTGAAATAATGACTTAGTTATATATCATATGAACATGAGCTTAGATAGAAAATTAACATTTGATTACATGGTCGATTACTCGAGGTTACTTTATTGATTTGCCACAAAGCAATACACTCGTTTTTTGACTAATTTCATCACATCAATAGCATACATTTCTTGAGATATTTTATTTCTGGAAATGTAAAATCTAAATCACCCTGCTGTACTATACGATCGTCTGGGGATGATACTAATACGCAAACTTTCTAAACGCGAACTCGAACCAACTGTTTGAGTGGGAAAATTAAGAATGAGCAGGACACTTTATTAAGGAAAACCCAATTAAGTATTTATATACACTCGTTCATAAATGCCATTTTCCTACGGAAAATATGGCCTAATTTTCAACCAATAGCGTATATCTCTTTCTTTAGAAAGTGATTATTCTTCACCAATATTGTTCACTTATATTTGGACGACACAGCGTATTATGTTCTCATAGACCTAGAGAGGATTTACAGAGATTGAATTCAATTCTTAAAATATCACTGTTCAAAGAGTGTTTATATTCATTGCTAGAGTTAACTATTACCATTTTTAGATAACATTTTTTGTAAATGAAAGATTCATTTTTGTCTTAGGGCTATAGAGTCTATCTTAATTGTTATATAGTTTAAAACTTTATAAAACAATTTATTCCTCCTTACTATTCTTGGCGTTAGAACAATAAGCAAAATTTAAAAATAGCAAAGAGAGTTAATAAACTTTCATATACTCGTATTACTTGATAAAATACTGAAGAAGTCTTTGCAGCAATGCTTACAAGAATACTGTTATGGACCTGTAACTTTTATGAATTAACGAATTAATATCCTGATTAGTCTGACTAAGCATGATAAAACTTCACGAAGTTTTGATGACTTACCTTGACACTTAGGTTCAACGTGTTTCTAAATAGTATTATGCATTATCTTTGTGTGGTGTAACATAATAACATCAAACAATAACGAATTTTAATCGAATGCAACTTTTAATCTGAAGTGAAATTGAATAAGAAGTGATTGGAAACCATGGAGCACATTTTAAGATACCTAGATAATACACATTCATTGTACTACAACTAATGTAATCTAAGGCCTTCATTTTATATGAAGGGCACTTTTATTTCAACCTGTGATACTGACCTATTATGTCCTTGTTTAGTCTGTCTACTAGTCTGTGCCTAGTAATCAGAGAGGGTTGTCTTGATCTAGCTTACGGAATTTAAATCATAGGTTTCTCAGTAAAACTTTGAGACGTAACACGAAAGTTCGACTTATGACTGAACAGTGTTGAGGGCATATTGACGAAAAGTATCCTGCCACTGACCTGTGAACTGATACGTTGGGAAGTGGAGAGACAGAAAACGATCTATTTGGCACAGAGAATCTGGTTTACTCCTAATTTAACTAACTTAAAATAGGTACATGGATAAATATACGACTGATAAAACCACAACGCACACGGAATGAGAAGGATATAATTTTATCCAAGACAAGACAGAAAAATATGGAATACAAGGATCACGTCTTATTAACGGCAATTTCGGAATAAAACAGAATACGACAGTAATTTATACATCAAATAGAAACTTATGAACAATAGAATAAAACAGGCACTGATCTAAATGTTAGCAATTTACAGATTTCTAATTGAATCAAATAATGTTTAAAAAAATAGCTCTTCTTTTTTGTTGTTACTTTTTAATTTCTCTTTGCACATTGACAAAAACATCCGAATTTTGTAAAACAAACCCGAGAATTGCAAACTGTAACAAAATAAAAAACACTCACATATCCTTTAGCGATTAATGTGAAGAGCTCAAAATCGTAAACGGTGATTCATATCCTTTCATAGTTTTGTTTTTTTAAAATCATAGTAACAGTATTATTTCAGATTTTCTATCCCATCATTTTACTTGACTCCTTCAAAAATGGATGAACTGTTATAATAAATGCAGATACCATTATCCGATTCTTTCACTTCCTTACTATGCTGAAATAAAGCATAACTGTTTGAGTCGTTTTATATTTATATCAGGTCGAAAGTTACTTGTGTCAGTCTTTTAATGGTAGAGTCCGCCAAAATTTTAGTTTGTGTTTAATGTTGTTAATAATTTGATTTCTTCAGTCATAGTTAGCTTAATTAATCTTGTATCAGTTATAAATAGAATTACTTTGAGAATGGTTTTCATCATGGGTCAGTAAGTGCTGAATAGTTAATTTATATAGAATAGATAATGGTGACTATAAGATAGTAATTTGTTCACTGAGATACCTTTAATTCTTTGATTCAATATTTGCTTTCTTTTTTGTACCCATTGGCTGGAGGTCTTAATCAGTTTCTTATGGAAAGCATTTCAAAATTGTAAAGTAATCTTCAGAATTTACCGAAGTGAACGATAAATTTTACTCATGTTACATATGAAATGAGACTTTGTTCATAGTTGAGTGTTAATGTTTCCGATAACTAACCACTAATTAAAATATCAATCATTTTAGACAGTAATTTTTTGGTTCTGGGTAATTTAAGATATTTTAGTGTTACATTTCTAATGTTTTAATGTCCATTACCTGAAGGTAATATAGTGCTGTATATATCTTGAATGTTCTATACAATCATTTTATTATAATAGAATTAAATCTAACTTATAGCATTCTTTTTATATTTTATAAGACAGATTTAGAGGAATAAAAGTTGTCCTTGATAAAACTTGCTAAGTACTCCATACTTTCAAAATTGATTGATCACTGGGTGGTGATCAATGTTATGCTTGTCTAGTCCTTATTAGTGCAGATCGAATGCTATCTATCATGTTGCATTGTGGCCACCAGTCTAGGTGACTCGACACTGCGGGCACTATGTATTGAAATTTTAGACGGTAGTTGGAGGTAGTCAACAGGAAACCCTGGACCCGGGTTTCGTGCTACTTGGCACTCGTCAGCAAGGTGTACCTGTAATCTTGAGGGAACTGATGCTCCCTGGCGGATTCGATCTCGTGTCACCCAGCTTCACAGTCAGAGACGTTACCACTGAGCTATCCGAGCCGTGACTAACCTCCTATAGGACTGAGATGTAATCACAATTGATTGATCACTGGGTGGTGATCAATGTCATGCTTGTCTAGTCCTTATTAGTGCAGATCGAATGCTATCGATCAAGTTACTCAGTGGTAACGTCTCTGACTGTGAAGCTGGGTGACACGAGATCGAGTCCCCCAGGGAGCACCAGTTCCCTCAAGATTACAGGTACACCTTGCTGACGAGTGCCAAGTAGCACGAAACCCGGGTCCAGGGTTTCCTGTTGACTACCTCCAACTACCATCTAAAATCTAACTCCATACTTTCATTATTTTAAGATATGCATTTTTTTTTCAAACTTCTAAAATTGGTAATCATAATACAAATTATAAATTATTTTAATAAGCATTTTACAAGAGAAATAAAGACTTAAATCAACTTACTATTGTGGTGTGTGCTATTTATGTCGACATAAGTAGTATATAACGCTAGTCAGGAATAGAATATCTGGTAGCAGAAAGTTGAGAAGATCGAGGAGAAAAGAACGGGAACAGAAAGCAATTGGTATGGAAATGTAGGAACAAAGAAATTTGAGACAATTAATGAACATTTTACAAGTAGATTGTTGGAGTATGGTTTTTCTATTTTATCAAGTAACTCTGCAATAGGTCCTCAGTTAGTTTAGACTTTGGATACATGGCTAATTTGATTGAAAAATAATGACATTTCTTTGAACTGCAATTTAGTCATTGTCGTTTCATAGCTTTTCATCATCTTCGTGAATATAGTATAACTTTATTTAGATACTTAGCGTATACATCTACATTAACCATCCGTTAACATTTAAAAGGACCTTGACAAATCAACCAATCGGTGGTTAGTTGTAGATATAGTTACAGTGCATTTTATTTATTTATATCGTTACATATGGAAATAAATTAATTACCCAACTAAAAAATGTTGAAATCGGTTGCAAGTAAGTCACTAGTTTATGGGTTTTTTATTTACTGGGTAAAATGTTTAAGTATATCACAAAAGAGTTCGGCCTTCAATATTAAATTAGGACTATTACATGTTTGAGAATGTTAATTCTTTCTATGAATGAGAGACAAAGAAATTTATTCTTAAATAACTAGTGAAACTTCAGTAGATCTTATATTTTAAACCTAAATAATAAAAAAATTTGGTACTTTTAAAATTTCGTTAATAATTGTATATAAAGTTAGTGTTTTCATTTATTGTATTGCTTTTTAAACAACACGTTACTGTGACAAGTTATGGTTCAGTATGTTCTCTTTCATGGTATACACGATCACCCAATTGATAATATCGATAGTCCTATATGGGGAAAAATGGGTACATATCTACAAATGAAAGCAATAAAGTCAATATTTTATTGATTCGATTGTAGGTTTTCTTATTTTAAGTAGTAATGTGGTATGTGATACTGATGTCGATAGATATAAGTAGTATGTATCGTCAATCGAAAGTGAAATGTAGGGAGGCAGAAGGTTAAGTAGATCAAAGAAAAGAGAGCGAGAACAGGGAGTGATTAATGTGGAAGCGAAGAAACAATGAAGTCTGAGACGATTGATTGACATTTTGCGAATGAAATATTTACTGTATAGTTCTTAAATTTCACTGAGATGTTCTGTGATTTTGTATTTAAATACATTCCATTGTCCTCCATTGTGTTCCCGTTCACTACGGTATATCAAACAGTAGTAATAGTTGATGAATAAAAAAATCTGTAATAAAATAATTAACTGTTATTAAAATCCCCTAAGTATATCTAGTTATAATTTATAATTTTCTCCGTTAAATATATTCGCGATTACTTAATTGTTCATTTCAGTACGAACTATAAAGTATCAAGGGTTAAATTCTCGTATCAAAATTGACTATTAATGTAAATCTATTCTGTCCATAATGATTCATGTACAGTCAATAAATTATATACATATCCTATCATTTCACTTGATTCCTTCAAAAATAAATGAGCTGTTATAATAAATGCAGATACCATTATCCAATTCTTTCATTTCCTTACTATGCTGAAATAAAGCATAACTGTTTGAGTCAATGAATACCGTTCTGTGTCAGAAAGTCTGACATAATTTTCAATTAAAATGATGTATAAAAAGTAATATTTTAATAACACTCTGAATTATCTGAAATTTTGGATTTGATAAATCTGCTATAAACTGCTGAGCATCATCTTTTTAATATTTTCACAACCAAGATGATTTTATAACAATATTGAGAATAATTCATAAGGTGCGCAACGCTTTTTATTTAAGAAATAAAAGAAAGAATTTAAACAATTAGTTCCATGAAAACAATGAATCCCATGCTTAAATAATTTAAAAAGAGAACTGTTAAGGTTGATTAGAAGTGTAGACTAATGGAAATCTCTTTAAATTACTTTGTGCTTATATAATACTTAATACATTTCATATGTATGAACGATGAAAGAATATTTTGTGATTTATCAATCGTTTATCAAATTAATTCCTATTCTACTTCATAATCATTGGTCGTCTTTACGTATCGTGTTTTGTAGCCCCTTATTATCCTATTCAGGATAATGAAAAACCAAAGCTTTTATATACATCTGCTAATTTCTTGGGTATACCCACCAACAGGGGACAACCAAAAATTGGTACATATCAAGGACCAGAACTTATCCGAAAATCTAATTTTTTCCAGCTTGTAGCTGAAGATGGTAAGATACAACATTGTATTGGTTTTATTAAACACACATTTTACACAGAGGTGGATGATGGCTAGCAATGAAATCCAGGACGCACGCATTTGTCTGTCCAATATTTCGAAGTTACTAACTTAAGTATTAGTTATTTTATCATCACTACTACTCAAGTATTTACTATAAACTAAACTTTCTGGTATGAGTTTGGTCAGGTACTTTAATATTTAAAACCACCGGTCATAAAAATTGGATGACTATTGTGGTTTGGAGCTCGTGTTATAAACAATACATAAGTGTGAAATTTATCAGTACAAATCATTTTTATTCCGTTCAAATGTCCTGTTTTCTAGGGACTTTAAAAATGGGTAGATATGCTTATGTATACTATGAAACTATTGATGGTGTAAGGCATCAGGCGTTTTGAACATTTTATAATCAAACACATGGCTTGATAAAACCAAATTAAATGGTTATATACGAAATAATTTAATAATGAAGACATTTTATCTCCACATTCACGAAATCACTGACTGTGTCACGTAGATTGAACATTGAGACATATAATTGAAGTTTTCCTTTTTGTAATCTGTCATTCTGAGCTTTATATTTTAAAGATATTTATCTTGTTTATCTTGCTAGTATCATATTAGTGGTTATTATCACAAAAGTGAAATAGCTTTCTCTATTCACCAATACTGAAGGATACGTATAATTTATGTCATGGTTATAAGAAGTTACGATTAAATAATTCCTGAATCCTGAAATTCAATGAAACAATATTATTTTCAAAGAATTGCGTTCAGTTTAACATTGAAATACTGCTCCGCGATATCATACGAATCATGAATATGTATAATGTATTTTGTACACGAAACATTGTGTAACTAATTCAACATGGCTGAATAGATCTCTAAAAACAATTTATTAATCTGTTGTATCAAGGTGGTGTAGTAAGTACGTTACTTGTCTCATGTAACGTGTTATGTTATGTTGCTAAAAAAAACCAAAATAACCCACTAGTGATAGTTATTTCAAATACAATAATTAATAGTAAATTTGATTTTTTCAAAACTCGAACTCTAGGAATACAGTTAATTGACTGTGGAGATGTTACACCTGTAGAACTAAGTGAAACAGAGGATCCACAACGTTTTGGAATGAAATGGTCACGGAGTTTCTCATTGACCACTTTAAAAATAGCCGAACGTGTGGAGGGATTAATGAAACAGTCAACTAAACATAATACTGAATCAAATGAATCAAAATCAAGTCCTTTAGTAATTGTTGGTGGTGATCATAGTATGGCGACTGGAACCATACTTGGACATGCTAAAGCTAAACCAGATCTGTGTGTGTTATGGATTGATGCTCATGGTGACATAAATACACCACTGAATTCAGCTTCTGGAAATATACATGGAATGCCTTTAAGTTTTCTAGTAAAAGAATTACAAGACCAAATACCGTGGTTGGACGACTTTGAGGGCATAAAACCTTGGTAAGTTTTTCGTATATATATATATGTTCTGCCTTATAAATATTTTATCCTTCAATTGTAAAATCTTAAGCTATTTGTATTTTTTTTTCGTTTTGTTCATATAGTTAACAATCAAGTTAATCTAGAGTGTTAGAATGAAATCTAAATACATACTATCCTACTAGTACCTAACACCAAACAATATCCATAGGAACTGCAAATCACTCAGATTGTAATGTAATCTATGAAATTAGACATATTATTAAAGAGCTTTACCATCACAGTATAATATTACTTAGTAATGTGAACCAATGAACTTAAGCTTAATTGAATTGAGGACCTTTAAACCTTACCGAAATTTATTGGTTTACATTTTGAGCTACAATTATTTCGTAACATTAATTCATAATCACTCAAACACATTGACGATATCTGTCTTACACTTGAACAAAAAGCTTCTTTTTTCAATGTATTTTCAAATTAGCAATGTCAATCTATACATGTAAATGCCCGACTATATCATGACAGTTTCAAAAATGTTTAACTTAGACCTTTCTTCTGTTTTCTCATCACAACTGACTTATTATTATTAATGATGTAAAAAATAAATAAATAGAGAAATACATTAATATTAAATTCATCACTTCAATGATCTCTATGAACATGACTTCTTGTAATGATATGAAGATAATTCACCTTAGAATAAATAAATAAATATTTGTTGTTTTTCTTTTCTCTCATCAGCAAAAGTCACATGAATCAATAAAATGTATATGAGATTAGGTTGTTGTTTGTTCATTTGTTTGTTTTTATTACCAAAATTACATAATTCACAATGTCAAAACTTAAATCAATGAAATTATCTTATGATTACTTATCAGATGACAATTACATTGTTCTATATTGATTTGATTATTTCTGTAATATTAGTCTTTATATATATATATATGAAAATTACCTTATAACTTCCTTAATAAATCGTCCAATATTCAAGGACAAGTTAGTGATGTGTTAAATGTGACCATATTGAAGTTAGATTATTTTATTTATTGTTTAATACATAATAATGAATAACAATTACTACCATGGTGATAACAATAATAATGATAATGAAATTGTGAAATGTTTCTATAGAGAATAATTCATTAATTTATAATTTTACCATATATATATATATACATTCATTGAATTAATAGATTGACTAAATTAATTAAATAATAAGATTGTTTTGTTTTTTTCAAAAAATAAAACTGATAAAGAGACTAATTTCAATATCGTATAGTAAAGATGTTCAGATTATTTGGCTAATTCAAATGTTTTATAATACAAAATAATATTTAAGTATATCATGTATTGAGATATTTAACAAGATTTTGTAAATAATTTGCACAGGGAAATCTAAGACTTTAATTCAACTATATATTACATAACAGTGAATAAAGTTGATGAGTTTGTTTTGTTTTAAATATTACTTAATTACTTACGCCTGTTACTCTTAATAGAGCATAGGCCGCCAACCAGCATTCTGTTTTAAATATATCACAATCTTAATCAAGTTGAACTTTAGTTTTATGTAATATTTTACAGAAACATTTATAGTTCTTAGCTTATTATTCTGACGAATTATTTTCACTTAAAAGCCTTAATTGCTATTTGTATTTATGGTTCAATCATATAAAGTGAAGAGTATAAATTTTTTAGTTTTATTCATTGAAATGACTGCCAGGGAAGTTCTTCTCACTGCCTTCTAGCGGCATTACTTTTGTTTATGAAATTGAGAGAAAGAAAATCGAGTGTCTGGTGATTTAACAGAATCCACTTAGGGGAAACCTGAGAAACCTGATTTCAAACCAATTGTGCACATAGATTCCAGTATCCTGTTGGAAGAAATGGCGTATGGACCTATTGTTGGGAGTCGGCTATAATGGGACTGCATCTCCTGACGTTACTTCACTGTCTTGTGGATTAAATCTTCAGCTCGAAGGCTCCGGATGTGGCTCCCTAAGAAAACCACCTGCTTCGGTTTAAGCACCCTTGCAGTATCACAGCCTACACACAAATCAAGCAACTTGTGTGTTGCATATATATTCGGTACTCTTTTATGCCAATATTAATGCGTTCAAACAAAACAATAATATTGATAAAATTAAATTTCGAATGAACGAATTACAAATGTACGTTAAACAAGGATTATTACATACTATTTTTGTATGCTTATAAAAAGAGTGAAACTCTAATTTGAAGATACTTTTCTCAACAACATTCAGATTTACATCTTACATGATTATGACTGTGTTTAAGAAATTACTATCCAAACAGTCATCATTTATAACGTATTTACTGAACCACCAGCAAATGTATCCATGCAGTTAGTTATTCATTTATGTAGATTTGAACGATTACAAATTCTCTAAAAATCTTGATGATAATAAACACTTTATGTTACTAATGTCTTTATAGGAATTACATTCTTCGCCCGTGTTTATTAATTCATGAAGGTGAAGTAAGAATTATATGTACTAACAAATTAAAAGTATATGTTCATTAATTGAAACTTTTTTCAAAGAAGAAAAGTACACATTTAAATGATCAATTTTTTTAAAAAGGTATACGGATATTTCATACACATAGTTCCCTTTATTATCTTAAATAGAGCAAGAACAAAGATTGGTGCCGGTGGATCAATATCATTACATAAGTAAAATGAAATACTAATTGTTTAGTATTAAAATATTCTTGAACCACATGTTAAAACAACAAATTCTGAACTAATTAAAGATTGAACTACTTATTATGAACATGTTATTTATACAGTGTGAAAGTTATTTCATTCGTATTAATTAATCATTAGTAATAAAATCAAAATGTTTAAAATTCATTGTCCTGTGAATTGATTTCTATTAGTATTTGGCAATCTACTTATATTATTTGATTTTCTGATTTTATTAAGAATGATAAAATGATCTTATTCAACAAATTTTGTCAATAATGAGAAACATTGAAAAGAGCAAGAACAAAGATTCTAGCAGAATAGTATGAATCCATTCTATTCCGGTGGTTCTCATCAGCTGCTAACAACCTGTGATATTTAGTAAAGCATATTCACAAAAATGGGTTTAAATTACTTACATGAAAGGGTTTGTTTGGAAGTTATGTTGAAGACATATTAGTACAGTATAGCAATGATGTAAATAAATTTACTAGACTAAAAATTTTAAATATATACCTTATGTGAAAGAACATCCTAAAACATTATAACAATAGTTTAAACGGCCAGATACAAGTGATTGTATAATGAGTAAAGTTTGATAGTAATAAAATGAGTAGATTAGTGAATGATTAGTAAGCAGCCAAACTTCAGTCTTCTGAAGTTCACTGAAGCCGTTGCTATCAGACGCGAAAAACCTGACTTATGTGTTAAAAAGATGGTTATTGATTTTTCCTTGCCTTGGTGACAAATGTTCTTTCGTTGCATCTCATGCTTTTTTAAATTCTTTCTTGCATTTCTTATATCATTGAGTTTTATTTCAACTATCTTCCAAATCAGTAATCTTATTTTATCAACTGAACTCTACACATTTTGCTCCTATCAACATTTACTCACTATGTAATCACTTGTTTGTGGCCGTTTGAACTATTGTCACAATCAATGTTGTGCAATATTCTTTTACATTAGGTATATATTTACAATTTTCAGTCTAGAAATTTTATTTACACCTTTATTATACTATACTATTCTGCTAGAATCTTTGTTCTTGTACTTTTCAAAATTATTAAGGGAACTATGTGTATAAAATTTAGGCTTATGAATATATGATGGTGATTGCACATATTTCATTATTTAAATTAATTATCTAAGCGTGGAAATTTGTTAATTCAGTGGTATTAATTTAAATGATAATTGACAGGTTTACTGAAACATTTTATCTTTCACGAAAAACATAAATCCAGAACATATTGATAATTCTTGTCTTTTTGGGTATTTAATAAAAACGTCTATTGTACTAAACACAAATTAATGGCGTCTTATTTTAGGTATCAATGCATATATATAAAGAGGAGTGAACAGATGAACAAATATTTAAGAAATTTGACCAAGAATCTCTCAGTCAAGGTATTGCAACTAGGGCCTATGGCGAAGTTATTTAGAGAGGAGAATTGGTATTATTCTTTCCAACAACAGCGAAAGCTCTCTTTTGGATTCAATAAAGTAGAACATTACTCGCACCAACCTTGTTCATGCCACATATTTTAGAAATGAAATGAGTTAGTGAATATTCTGTTTAGGGTTGTGGAGGTTGCTAAATTTCGTTGAAATCATGAACCGACCAATGTTAGACTATTTTTGAAAACCTAGAAGCACTGGATGGTTGTTTCGTTCTAGTAAGGGACATGTCAGCAGTGCCCATCCGTGATCCCGCACGCGAAATGCAAACCCAGGACCTTAGGTCTCGCGTGAACGCTTAACCTCTAGACCACTGAGCTAGCATCCATGCATACTGTCTTGTTGAAGTTTTCTTCTAAGGAAAAGTATGTTATATTGTACAATAAAACAAACAGTAATTCTTACATAACCTTAAAACATTTAAAGTAATTTTTATTAGGTATTCAGTTTTTCATAACAATATACAATTAATTGTTTAGATGACAATTTTCAGCATAAGAACTAATGACAATTAAACAACCAGTGTGAACCAAGTAGTATTAAGCAAGGGTTTTGTACTTATTCGAAATTCCTCACTAATGAACACCAATTATGTATTCCACACTGTACTTTCATATTTTATCCAGAATTAGATAACTTTATTTTACTATGTTAAAAGTTATTAGTCGGTATTTTCAACTTTAATCAATTTATGACAGTGTCGTAACATGTTTTGTCTGTTTTAATTTGGTGTATACTTAACATTTACTTGGAATTCTTTGTTTCTCATTTCTCATTTTGCAGTCTCAATGCCAGTAATATTGCCTATATTGGTTTGCGGGATTTAGATGCTTATGAAACGTAAGTAAGCCACCACAAGAACAAAGCATTAAAAAGAAGTAATTATCTTTTTTTGTAAGCTAGTATGAGAAACATTTGTCTATAAACACGCTATTAGGTTGTGCATAAACTTGGACTCAATTTAAGTATATATATAATGTAGTCACTATCAATTACTGAGAATTTATAGATTTGTTGATTAATTTGTGCTGATACCTGGGGCCGTTTATAGAAAACCTGAAATCATCTTCCATCTCTCACTCTCAAATACCATATCACAAAGCTAAAGAGAAGCAGATAGCAGACTGCTGTGTTAATAAATCTTTATTTTAGAAAAAATACAGTTGTCACTGGTATCTAGTGTTGTTCAAACTGTTGAATGTTAAATACATCATATATATCTTTATTGGTACAACTTCCGTATTCTGTGCATTTGAATTTCTGTGGCTATTTTAAATAAATGAACTGGTTTTTACACTCCCACTCCCACTCACTCTTTAGTTGTAAACTGTATGATAGTGCGATTAAATACCACAGTATATTTTGAATTCGTCAAGTTTAAACAGCAATAATAAGCATTTTCAAATGTTTGCTCAAATTATTCGAAAGACCTTGTCTTTTTATTTTTTAAGGCTCTTATGACTATTTTGTAAGCGATCACTATCTCTATTAAGATTTCGGCGAGATCCTAATTAATGGAAGAACCAATAACGTTTAAGATGTCGTATCTTGAATATTGGTTCAAAATCCACTTATTTATATGACTAAACAGTATTTTCGCATCATAGCTGATGTCGGTTCGTTATGAAAACCCTAACTCTAATTCCGAACCCTATCTCCTGACCCTAAGTTCCGATTCTGATTTTTTGCACCAATTTACAACCCTCTTTTGACACTGGTAAGTAGGCGGTTCTTATCAAGGTCACTTCGGCGACGCTCAGAGATCGTCCATAAATTACAGTCTCACAAAACTTCCTCATGTAAAGAATACATTATCAATCAAGTGAAAAGAATCTATCTTCAACATTTGAAGCGAGAAGTTGACACTGAATAGCGTAATCGCAACTTCAAATAAAAATTTGCTGTAAGCTATTATACGAGTCGACTAGTTTAACAAAAATGTATAAAGTAGGACAATATGTTTTCCTAATAATCCTTTAACTTCAGATACTGCTATATACCATTTCAATAGGATGGGTCAAGGTACACCCTTAAGTTAATGAAAATGATCAATGTTGTGTACTGGTAATTATTCTTTCAGATGAAGAGCAACACGTTCATTAAACAATTACTTATCCGAACCTAAAAAAAGATTACATTTCACATGTATCCAGTGCTGCTTAGACAACAACTGAATATGAATCCTAGAAATTAACGATCAAGAAGTTAGTTTTTAAGCAAAATTGCTAAGCTGTGTGATTCACCCTTTTAAGAAATTGAAAGTATATTGAAAATATGAACGAACAAAATGACTTACATTTAACTCTATTTACACTTACTTTTATAAACATTTATTTTTGACTTGGTTATATTTCTTATTTATATAGTCACATTTTTGGTATTTTTATAGACTATTAATTTCGTAACGATAAATCCAACATACTTATGTTATTGACTAAATTGTTAGTTCAAGAGTTTTAGGGATAATCTGCTATTATATGTCAAAAGAATTCATACAAAACGTTTCTTGAATAGGCTAATGATCAATACAAATCTATACTGGGAAATTGATTTTCTTATGAAGGATATACTGATGAAGTGGTTGCAAATACTTTTAGTTTATCAGTATTGAGTCGTGGAGATCGTTGGGCTTAGATTGTTATAATGAATGGATCGATGCTAGACCACCATCGATAACCTAGAAGCATTGGAAAGACGATTTGTTCTAGTATGGAACTCCTCATGAGTGCGCATCCACGATCCCCCGTTCGAGACTTGAATCCAGGTCTCTCAGTCTAGCGCGCGAACGCTTAACCTCTAGACCACTAATCTGAATGTTCTTTCTTTAGTTTAGTAAATTACTTCAAATCAGAAACCTGAAAGCTGCTCAGCAGATTTTCATTTGAGATAGAGGAGAAGATTTGTAACCCATATGGATGACTTTGTTGAAGTTTCGTTCTTTCAGCTGAGTGGTTTGGTCGTGGGGCTTTCACCACACTACGACACACTTTCAACTCAGAAAATTGAGTAAAAATATCTAGTGAATATCCTTCGGAAGAACGGTTACTCACGCAACTTCATCAATAAATACCAACCCAAACTATTGCCAAAAGCGAAATCAAATACAGAAACCGGCAAACGGATTATCTTAACATTTATAAAAGACATCAGAAATTACGACGAGATCATTGAAGCTGTATGGAATAGGTGTGTCACAAAAGCCGGCGAAATCACTTTAATCAACTCTATACAAATCAAGGGATGAAATGATCTCATCTACAAAAGTAAGTGTTCCATTTGCGAAAAACACTATACCGGACAAATTAAAGCATTAGTTAGAGGTTAAACGCCATGATATATTTTCGCTTATATCAGTGGATGTGGACAACTGTGGACACACATTCGATTGAAAAAAAATGTTGAGATCCTGGAGTGCAGGCATATCAAGAACAACGGGGAATTTTTAGAAGCTTGGCGCTCAGATCAATCTGGAATCAACAAGCACTTCGAAGTCGATTCAGTCTATCAACCAATCAAAAACAATATGTACATACATAAGACCAAGAATCGGATCAAAGGGAAACACCAGAAAAATAACGATAAGCTAACGATAATAACGATAAGCTAACGGTAATAACGATAAGCTAAAGGCCGACAATAGCCAGTCAAGATCGAAGCCGACAGGGCAAGCTGTGAGTCATATTTGAAGAAGTTCGAACATTTTCCTTCTACCTGAATTTTATGTTGATGACATCGTTCAGAAGAACAATGAAATCTCCACAACCAAACCATCCATCCTAAAAAACAAAACTCTAACAAAAACATACTATTTTCACTATCTCTTCAGATAATATTATTCTGTAGTATGAATTACCTTCAAACATATTTACTGCAAATTACAAAACGTCTGATACTATTATTCTTATTCTTGTAGACATGATATTAGAAAACATGGCATTGCTTATTTTACAATGCTGGATGTTGACCGAATGGGAATAGAAGCTGTTATTAAGGAAGCATTGCAAGCAGTAAATCCAAGGTTATTGTTTTAACTGTATTAAATAGCAAAATATATATACTATGGTTCTCTGAAATTTTATGAATAACTTGACATTTAGTTGAACATTCGTCTCCAAAATGAAGTTTATTATTCAAATAATTTGCCTATGGTTTTGATGATGTGTCTTGTACTCACATCAAATCGTAGTTTTTTACTGGACGTGTGAATGTAAGAGTGTTCATATTTGTTAAAAATTCACGCAACATTTACCCAAATATGACATGAAGATATCGGATTCCAACAACTATCCTAAGTTAAAAGATGGAATATTGTGTTTGGATTAATCGGTTTTCCGGATATCGTCTATATTTGACGTGTGTTTGCTAAACTGACAAGTTATTGGATGTTCGTTTATATTTACTAATAACGGTATTACTTATTCTGAGAAGAAATATCACTTAAAGATATGGAAAATTCCTGAAAACACTTCACCCTGGAATGCTAAATTTTTATGTTTAATATATGAGGCCTTAGACCTAGTTTGACACGATTTTACTGATAGGAATAGTTGGTAACAAAAATTAAAGTATTTAGTTAATTATACTCATAACGATGCCTTATTGTTTCAAACGTTCAACCGTCGGTCATTGGGCGGAAAATCAAGTTCTGAGCAGCAAGATCGTACAACTATTCCTTATAAAACATGTATAACTCAAAGCCAACTATGTATCTAATAAGTGAGTTTCACCAAATTAAATTAGGGGAAGCATGAGATTATATTTTGAAACAACTACCAATCTATTTTTAATATTTCTGATTTCTGATGACTCTAATTAAGTCTATTTAATCTAATTCTGAAGATTTATTTCATATAAAGTATGTTAATGTTTGTATGCGAGTAATCACCATCTTTAAATCATTTTCTCCAGTGTGATTATAATATTATACTATCGAGTAACACATCCATTCGGTTATTAAAAGCGCTTTTATTAAATTTATAGGTATTTATATCATAATTATATAATGTATACAAATGTATGTAAAACCGTTCTGTTTATGAACGTAAATAAATGTCAAAATGCCTTCACGAATATCACAAAACGTTTGAGATATGCCAGTACTATAGAAGATCTTCACGACAATCTGTTATTGCTAACAGTTAATCAGAACGTTTTTTTATTAAATAATACGAAAATAGTTTTAACTAAATGAGTTAGCTGCGAATGTAGGTAGTCTGTAGGAAAACTTCAAATTGGAACTTCAACAAAAATGGCACACCATTTACTTTAAAGAATAATTTGTGTTTTCATTTGTGACAAAATTCAAAATAAATTCGCTTCATTCCGTTAAAATGTCATGATTGATCTTCTTTACAAAAACCGCGCCAAAATACATTTTTTACGGAAACAACAAGTTTATAACTGTTGTAGATGGTATGTCGAAAATGTTGTTTTAGATCGTTAGTTTAGGAATGAAATATATTCACTAATCTTGAATAGTATAAATAAGTTCTGAAGTAAAATAATATAAGAAAACTTAGAGTTCAAATTGACTTTCTTTCAAAAATAACTTGTAGTAAATGATTATAGTCGGTGCCAATTAGAACAATCTTTGTTTAGAAACCGTTTAGAATACTTAACGAAGTAACACTACTTAATTAAATTTGATTAACAACCCTAAAAGCCTGACATATTAGACGAAAGTGAGATAATTCTTTGAAAATAAACGAATCGAGCTAATTTCCACAGCTGGGTTCACGAGTCAATTTAAGCTAGGCCACCATTGAAGACCTGTAATCAGTGGACGAACGATTTGTCCTAGAAAGGAACTCTACAGCAATGCGCACACGGCCTCAAACTAAGGACCTTCGGTCTCGCTTGCGAACACTTAACTTCCAAACCACTGAGCAGGCATCCAACGATGTTAATGTCCAACTTCAATTGATTCATGATCTTTCACAATCCTTTATCCATTGTCTGAGATGGATAACTACCTCACACTCAATATGGATTAGACTTCACTGGTCATGGATTCTCACTAGAATGCCAGGAAATTCATCTTGAAGCTATTCACTGCTGACCATATGATTATTATCAGTGCAGGGATTTGCAGAGATTGTACAGAACAAAGGAAAAAATTTCTCTTTTTTTATGTTAGGCTTCCAAATATTAGAACTGTTAAATGTTTTTAGTTATTTACGAATATTTTCCTGATTATTACAATAGGACTCATCACTCACAAAAGAGATACCTTGATAATACATGTATTTAGATCCTGCGTATTTTTTGATATCTTATTCAAGTTTATCCAGCTGATAAGAGGAAATGCTCATCCAAGATTCTGTTATTAGCCATTACTGAAAATAAGATTTATCTTCTAAAGTTTTAAATTGGTGGCTGAAACTAAGAAATTAGACCATCGATTTTGAACATTTAACAAATATTTGCAGAGATTTGCATAATAAGTTTTTACGAGTTTGGAGAGAGTTATTTAGAAAACTGTTCGTCAATTCCTGAATAATCTTTATTTTCAGACTATGTCTTAATTATTAATGTGACCGAGAAGTAAAAAGTTTGCTTGGACTCATATACATTATGCTGTATTCTTATCAAGGTTTTGATAATTATCGCTTCTGAGTTCCCAATTGAATATGTATTTGTAGAACCTTGAGTTTGAAATTCCGGGGATCGAAAATTAATAAAAAAATTACTAAGTATAAACTGTCGTCAAAGAGAAAAACCCTTCTCCATCTACTCAAATGGAATCATGGATAACAGATTTCATTGAAAGTAAATTAATCTACTTTTCACTGAGTAGTAGTATATGAAAGACGATATTTAACAACGTTAATCAATAGTAAGCTCTTGGTCGACAATTATTTTGCACTTATCGATTTTCAGTGTCCGTCCCCATTCCAGTACTATTGATCACGTAAATTAAATCCATATATAATTATTACTATTATTTGAATTTCAGGAGCTCCTGTATCGTACTGAAAGCACTTTGTACTTTATTATTTTTAGATTGGAGAAAGCTATTCACTTGAGTTTTGATATAGATGCACTGGATCCTTTAGTAGCTCCGAGTACTGGCACTGCTGTTCCAGGTGGTTTAACATTACGTGAAGGTTTAAGAATATGTGAAGAAGTTTCAGCGACAGGTAGTTTCTTACCTTTTAATATTACTTGCTACGAAATTACGATTGCTGTAGTACTCATTAGTAGTATGTCTGAAAATGTTTACGTAGTGTTTATGTAAATTGAAGGAAACTAAAATATATTTAAAATTAATTGAGATTAATAAATACCATGGCGGATCATCAACAGTTTCACTATTTAGTAGTTAGAAAATTATCTAATGTCTTATAGGTATCGTTGATTATTTTGTGAAGCGGAAATAGAAACTGGCTTAATCGTTAAAGAACTAAATTATTAACCCCTTTGTCACAGATTTGGTATTGTTGTGGTGTGTGTTGCTAATGCCGATAGATATAAGTAGTATGTATCATCAACCGAAAGTGAAATAAGTGACGGGAGAAGGTTAAGAGGATTGAGGAAAAGAGAGAGAGAATAGAGGATGATTGGTGTGGGAATGAAAGAACAATGAAGTCTGAGACGATTGATTGATATTTTGCAAATGAAATATTTACTGTGTGGTTCTTAGACATTTTGTAATTTTATGTTTAAATGCATTTGGTTGTCCCCGCTTGTGATCTCGTTCACTACATTGTCTCAAATTCTGAGTATATGTCACTTTAGCATATCCTCATAAAAATCGTTGTACCTTATAGCTGTGGGCGAGGACCGATAGTCAATTACTGAGGTTTTTTTTATCAAAGTCTCAATCAATTTTTAAAAATTCGTCTCCATAGAACATTCAAACAGTAATTAAAAGGATATCAACTTTTTGAATAATTTCTAACCTTGTTATTATGTCTGTGTAAATTTAAGCTAGCAGAAATAGGAATCGAAAAAAGGAACTTCTTTGGTTTCAGATTGTGTATATAAATAAAAGTTAATTGATGAAATACAGGAAAAAAAGTGATTCAGCTTTTAATTTTGAACCCGTTAACAAAACGATCTATCTAGCTGGTAAACTATAAAAATATTCTATCTTAGAGATCTGAGCATAATTAAGCTTACATTGCAGAATAGTGAAGTGACAAATGCTAAGACTAAATGCAAATTTCTAAGTAGGCAATATATTTGTATTGAATATGAGTGTTGAATTGTATGTTAAGGAGGAATTATCACCACCTGACATGATGGGTTATGCTTAGTAGACCATGATTAAGCTGGAGGAAAACGTGAGATTTCAAAACAAAAACACTGGTTAATAATACAATAATATGTGTTTCATACTATGTAGAGAAACATTAGTCTTATAGTCAGTTTTATTGATAATCATTATGATTTATGATTTTAAATGGAATGGTTTAAATTCACTACCACTTTCAAAGTTACATTTATTCTGTATCTTTCTGAACATATTCGTTTCATATTCATTCCATACCTTCCATTCTTTGGTTAGATTTATTCAATGAAGGCTCTATATCTTGTGTTTAACTCCTCACTAATATCAATATTATTACATATACTGCTTTGCTTTTCATTTTGTTAATTTATTCATTATAGTGCTGATGTGAGATGTAGTCATGTGCACTGATGTAAACTTTCATTTGGTCGTTCATTCATGATATTTGACTAGTTGATTTATAATGAATGTATGTGAAATTGGATAGCATATCTATTGGTTTGTATGAGGATATTTATCATTGAATGATTACTTTCATGAATTACCATCATTTCTAAGTGTGCAAAATATTTTTTGTCTAAAAGTTGCTGAGTCCTATTTGGTTTTGTATCCCATTCATGTTTCTAACTTAATAGAACAATGAAATTTATTTAAAAACTAAGAATTGGTGATTTTCATTTCTGTTACTTTCAAATATCTTGATACAATAGACTACAAGTATTTTCGGAACGTTGCTATAGTGATTGAAATACAATAGAATTTATTTGAACTACAAAGTGAGCACTCATCCTAATACACTTAAAATGGCACACTAATTTATTATCAAAGAAAAATTCTGATCTAACAGTTGAGACACGTAATGTGTGAAATTCTCTAGATTTTTGTTGAAGACACTTATAATTTTCATACTAAATGACTTAAGTATGTATCTCTATATACATATATATAATATGCAATATCTAGTGTATTTTGTATTTCACTTTTTTGCAGGAAAACTTTCTATAGTTGAATTGGCTGAATTAAATCCTTTGTTAGGATCTAAGGAAGATGTTGTAAAAACTCAATCATCCGCTGTTCAGATTTTGAGAGCATGTTTAGGCCATTGTCGTTCAGGTCATTTACCATTCAATGTTCGTAATTTAACTGATCAAGGTATTATTAGTCGGATGGCACATATGCAGACAAAACAATAATTATTCCTAATTCTCTAACAGTTACTGGTTATCTTTTATTATTATAATGATATAACTCATTTATCAATATTATTATCAATATATAGCATTACAATGATTTGTGTATTTTTTAAAAATATTATATTATTTATTTGTTGTGTTATTACTTCTAAACTGACTTACATTATTTGAAGAAAATTGATACAACCTAACTATTTTTTGTTTATTAGTAAAGGGTTGTGGAAATTGTTGAGTTCCATTGAAACAATGAACCAGTTCATGTTATACTACCATTGAAAACCTGGGAATACTGAACGGTCGTATCATTATGGTATATGGCTTCTCAGCAGTGTGCGTCCATGGCATCATAAGTGGTGTCACCGGAGACAGTGTCTAAGAAGTTGATAAACAGAGTTCAAAAACTCTTTGCTGAATCAAGCGACAAAGAAACTGAGATGAATTTAGTTATATCCACTTTGATGATGGATAATTATCCCAAGTACTTTATACAAAGAATAATTAAGAAAGAAGGCCAAAACTGTAAGTTAAAAGATATACCAAAAGAACGGGTCAAAACTGTTATGATCGCTTATTGTGAAGGAACTTCAAAAGCGATCAAAAGGGTCCTAAATCATTACGATATAAAAGTAATCCTTCAAACAAATAATGCTTTAAACTGTTAAGAGTCAGAAACTAAATACGAAAGGAGGAACAAGAAAATTGTTTATGTAAGATCAAATGAAGCGACTATAGTGCTATATATGAAGGTGAGATTTCATGGCAGCTGGATTTGAGGGTGGAGGAACACAGACTTTGCTTAAAGTATGTTCTTAAATCCTTAAGAGATCTAAAAAAAAGCTGGGAAACAAGTCTGATATTGCATTGGACTCAACAGAGTCTTGCCATACAATTGATTTCATTGACACAAGAATCGTCGAAAAACGTTTTAGCTCATACAAGGAGAGAATAACATCTGAAGCCCTAGACATATGGGAAAATCCGAACAGTGTTAATAGGTTCGCTGGAATACAGTTAGCTGTCCTTGAAATCCTTACTACATTTTATTCCATTTAATTCATCCCTTACTATGTGAACATCAACGATTGTGGTGGACCAAACAATATATGAACTCAAAAATGATAAAAGCGTTATTAAGTACAAATAGTAATGTTAATATGTATCAGTTAAATGTTATAAACACAACAAAAATTAGAGACGTTACTTAATTCAGCAGGTTTGTACGTGTTCTGATTGAGTCTGTTACCAAAATCCACAATTATAGATGATTGAAGATTCCAGTAAGATTGATGTCCTCCCAGTGGTATAACCAAACGTAGAATATGATATATTTCAATTATAGTCTATAAATGTAGACGGTATTTGATTTAGAGTTCAGTTAACACAATCACGAGCGAATGCGGAACAAGAGGTATGTGTGTAACAGTGTATTTGTTAATACGTGACAGCGTGTGTCATGCTATGAATGTAACACGACGGAAGAAAGTGTGTTCAAGGTCATACACTTAACAAATACAATCATTTAATGATAAATATACATGCAGTGAAAAATTGACAGAATAAATACAAATAACATCAAAAACCATTTACAAAATAAGCTTGTCATGCATATCTCCACACGATTACTTTCACGTGTTTTAATCAGCTTGTTCATCTGAATATATGGTGAACTATCAGCTTGGTTAACGTAACAATACAGATGTTTATTTGTTTACTTATCTTCATTCTGTTAATGCTGTTACATGCTTGACTCATCTCATCTATATAATTGTCTGTTTTCATCAAAACATTGCTGATCAGAGGTGATATATAGTCAATGAAATTTTCCCCCACTTTGAATCCACTTACCCTTACATAGAACTGTTATCTTAACACACGTTTTTTACACTTTTCATATCAAATGTCTCCTACACCCTGCATCAAATTCTACTTTCAACATTAATAATATGACTGAATAACTTGTTTATTACATAATTAACTATAGAACCTTATATTTGTATTTGATAATTTTGATGTTTGACTATATTTCTTTGAAAAAGTAAGGATCCGTTTGCCCAACAAAACACTGGATTTACTCAAAATTTAATTTCTAAGAATTTTACAATTATAATTTCATCATTAATATCAAAGTTTCATAATTGGAAACTTGACAAACACTACTTTATTATTTTTAATATTAGTTTTATTCAGTATTATGTTATTGGGACAACATGGAATTCTCATCACAAAGTATTTCAGCGGGTTCCCGCTTATTATTTCTTGATCTATATTGCCGATAAATATTGAGTGATCGCTAGTTAGATATTAGCAGTTCAGGAATCGACATCTGAATAATGTACACGCTTTTTGATGCATATTGCCAGCAACCACGATGTCCCTGATTTGGACTTTGGTAACTTGTACAGCGAAAGGTTGTACACCTTTCAGAAACGCACCTGAATAGGTTCTGTATTTAATTGACATAATAATCTGTTAAAACAAACAAGGAAACAAATAACTTATTCAAATATATAAATGGCAGGAACAGGTAGCCCAGATATTCAAGCAGGTCTCCAGTGATGTTTTTCCTTAAACATATCATTTCTTATTTTATGCATACACAATTCACTTAACATTAACTTAATTTTACTATGCTTGAAATATTACTGTTACTGAATACTCAACAATTACTCATGCATTGGTTAGATAGGTTAATGAAATGATTAAACCTATGATGAAGTTCCCGTTTAAAATGTTGATCCTCTATTTATTTCATTTAATCTAAAACAATTAAAACAGTTTAATTTTCTAGAACTTTCATCTTGGAAAATGTCAGTAACTGATCTAAGTCAAAAATGTATCTTACACATTTCGACGTAATTTGACCAGGTTATTCCAATGTAGCAAAGTATTTATTATATATATAAATGATTGTTGTATGAGTGGTAGTCCACGATAAAAAAAGGCAAAATAGTAATTTTATTTATCAACTTATTTTATGCTGATATGTAGTTTGTATGTATATAGTTTGATAGTGATTAGTTTAAGCAACACTGAAAACTTACTTACTTACTTACGCCTGTTACTCCCAATGGAGCATAAGCCGCCGACCAGCGTACTCCAACCCACTCTGTCCTCCGCCTTCTTTTCTAGTTCCATTCAATTCCTGTTCATTTTTCTTGTGTCTATCTCCATTTCTCGGCGTATTGTGTTCTTTAGTCTTCCTCTTTTCCTTTGGCCTTGAGGATTCCATGTAAGGGCTTGTCTTGTGACGCAGTTGGGTGCTTTCCTCAATGTGTGTCCTATCCACATCCAGCGCTTCTTCCTGATTTCTTCCTCCTGTGAGATCTGGTTTGTTCTTTCCCACAGTACGTTGTTGCTAATAGTGTCCGGCCAATGGATCCGAAGTATTTTGCATAGACAACTGTTAATAAACACCTGTATCTTCTGGATGATGGCTTTCGTAGTTCTCCAGGTTTCTGCCCCATACAGTAGAACTGTCTTGACATTTGTATTGGAAATCCTGACCTTGGTGTTGGTTGATAGTTGTTTTGAGTTCTAGATGTTATTCATTTGTAGATATACTGCTCTTCCTTTGCCGATCCGCGCCTTCACATCTGCGTCAGATCCACCGTGTTCGTCAATACTGCTGCTCAGATATGTAAAGGTTTTTACATCTTCCGAAGCTTCCCCGTCGAGTTTGACTCGATTGTTGTATGCTGTATTGTATCGAAGAATCTTGCTTTTCCCTTTGTGTATGTTGAGACCTACTGCTGCTGAATCTGCTACCTCACTGGTTGTCTTCTGCATTTTTTGTTGTTGCGTGTGCGGCAGAAGAGCCAGATCATCTGCGAAGTCTAGATCGTCCAGTTGCATCCTAGCTGTCTACTGTATCCCATGCTTCCCTTCAGATAATGACATCTTCATGATCCAGTCGATCCACAGGAGAAAGAGAAAGGGTGAGAGTAAGAACACTGAAAACTAGGGTGAACCAAAAAGCTATTTCTTCCTCTTAAATTATTTTAACCTAATATAAAATACTTATTTCTTTGCTAATTGATTTTAGTATTCTCCAGGTAGTGTTAAATAATAGTGGAAGTTCTCTACAAATCATAAGATTTATCCAACCGTATCCTTAGTGAGTGAATTTTAATTCTGAATTGATCTAAGGATATTATGATAAGATGAGCAAAATAATTTCGTAACAACTATTTCAAACACTATACAAAGCATACTAGAAATTTTGCTTGTTTAAATCAAACAGCACATTAAACGGAACTAAGACTTCCGACAAAAGTTTTTTTAGTGTAATTAGGTAACACTGCCAGCAATGCATGAGTTAACAGTTATGTTTGTCGATGAAAAATAAAACGGTGAAATTTTTAACTACTTTAATATTTGAAGATAATAATATGAATATAAGTAAGAAGTTTTGTCAATAAATAAATTTGTATTTAGTGTCGGTAACAATCTTATTATGTTTACGAAATTAACTAATAATTCTAATCTCATTTCTATCTAGTTACCAAGATGACAAATAAATATGTTCAAGTTGAACGTAACAATGAATCATTTGGATCTGTTATATATTTAATATATAATGTATAATTACTATTACTCTGTTTCAATCATATAAAAGAATTTATAGTAAAATCTGTACAAAATATCAGGAATTGAATGTTAAAGATAATGGTACATACAGTTTATAATACTTCAGGATCAGTTTTTCACTTAGTCCTTAATAATGAAGTGTTTGATTCCCGAAATCAGGTTTACATTGATTTAATATGAGTAAATTTCACCAGGATCTCATATTTGTCCAATTATTTCATATACGTTATCCATTTTGTTGGGAGAAAGAATAAGATAAGGTATTTCATTGATGAACTACCGAAAACATAATAATAGTTGATTGAAACGGATTTTGTGTCGTCTTCTTTAGTGTTATATGTTGTAATAACACTTACCAATAAACAGATATCAATATAAAATCAAAGTTGATAAATTGACAATGTAGTTTTCATTGGCTTAAACGTATGTTTAACATAGAATATTTATAGGATTTGCACAATTATCGATTTCAGGAATGAACCTGTTTTAAAATGATCAAAACAACACTGTATATTTCACAGGTCACACAAATCTTTAGTCAAACATATCTTGAATAGTTGTAGAACTTTTTCAAGTCTTTTAACTTTGTATCCTATACTACTTGTTATATTATTTAGTAGGCATCGGCATTTTGAATAAAATGTTTAAGTAAAATAACTTGATTAGTCTTAGAATGAGATTGTTTACCAGTAACCATCGACGTTTGTTATTTCTTTTCTTATGATATACATTTAAATACGAAATATTCTTTTAATGGTTACTGCCCCCAAATGCTCTGGTACGACCGAGAGTGAGGAGAGTCAGCTCTCCCTCTCGAAATGTTTTCACATGGTCACGTGCATACCACCACTGTCAGGGAAGTCCTACTCACTACCCTCTCTCAGGCAGCGGTGTTGTTTAAGAAACTGAGAGGACGAGAGGCGAATTCCTGGCACTTTAACCGGATTGATGGATACGGAGGATCCACATAGGGAAGTCGAAAAACCATGATTACAAACCGATGGTGCACATGGGCTCCAGTATCCTGAAGGGAAAAATGGCGTATGAACCAACTACTATCATGGGAACGTATCTCCTAATGTTGTCCCACTGTGTTGTGGATTAGACCTTTAGGTCGATGGCTTCGGGTGTGGCCTCTTATGAAAACCACCTGTTTCGGTTTGGGCAACTAAGTAGTATCACAGCCTTCACGCAAATCGAATGATTTATGTGGCGCATGTCTATTTCGTACCTCCCTGTACCAATGTTTATTTGTTAAAATAAATAAATAAATGGTTGTTACTGAAGTTTAATGGCTGTGGAATAGAAATATGACCTGAAACTCAGTAAGTTGTAGTTGATCAGAGCTGTATGACAATCCGCTAATACTGATTTGAATCGCACAAGAAATAAATTATTTCAGAAGATTCCAGCTCTGTAATTTTTCATATTTTATCAGAGATGCAAGTAAATAGAAGTTGGAATGTCGAACACTCATGAAGCTATCCAGAACTGTGATTTCAGCTAATTATTCCTAAGATTGATATCCCCTTTCTATTCGTTTTATTCAGTATATATGTGAATGTTTAATACTTGATGTTAATATTATTACGTATTCTCATCTTAGTTTGCCATTCATTTTCTTCATATCTGTCTAATGGACCATTTTGTTTTACATTTCTTTCATAAATTACTACTTATTAATATCTTTATGACTTCTGCATAACCAATCACCAACACTCGAAAACATTGGATAGTTATTGATAATTTTTGGATGACGCAACACTTCTGTTTTTTATCACAGACTAATATATGAACTTAATTATAAACACGATTGCACAGCTTAAAGTCACTTCATTGAACTGTCTTTAGTTTGTTCAACTTTCTGAATATTTTAATTTGTATTGTGCTGAACAAAAACTCAGTTAGGGGAGACCAATTTAGTGTCAAATGCAAAATATGATCCTGGTTCAAATGTAATTGACTATAATAAATCCACCTTACGAGAAAGTAAGTTCATTAAGTGTTAAATTTAACAGTAAACATTCATATGATTCAATTTTGCATTCAGCTAACTTTACAATTGATTATATATCTTTAAAATATTACATTTGTACTACCGTACCTTTCTATTTTTATAAGTCACCAACCAATTAATATTGAGTTGTGATCACCAACCAATCAAACGATTAGAGTAACGGTTAAATAATAATGTACAGTTGAGCAAATATTTGATTTGAATATGACCCTGAACTATTTATTTAATAAACAATTACATCAGAACGTCTATATTTATTATACATATATATATGCTTTCAAAATCATCAACACAATCTTCGCCACTGTCACCATCGTTATCATTATAATTAACCTTATTGATTATTATGAAGCTTTACTTACTTAGTTACAGAAATGTAAAACGAACAATTTTAAAAAAGCCCATTTTTGTCTTCGTATATTCACTTTTATTATTTTCATTAATTTTTCTAATTGCAAATCATTCACAAAAAACATTCTTATCAGTTAAGCTAATTGACATAAACACTCATGACGTGTATAAAAAATATGAACGATCATTCAGTGGACATGAGAATTTAATTTTCAACAATGATTATGCTAACTTTAGTATTGAAAAACAAAAAAATGTAAATGTAAATTCAAAACGACATTTAGGTTCAATTGATACAAAGCTATTTGATATACAAGGTTTTATACTGAAAAAGGAATTCAATATGAATAATTTAATCTTATTTCCATTTGAAACAGATAATCCATATGAGGATGATAGAATATTAGCACAAATGAGTTATGTTCCTGTACAAGTGTTAGAAGTAAGTATGTTATACATCAACTATTGTAATATGGTTATTTATGTCTTAAGTTAAATAAAATGAATTTTGCTTATATTTATCTATTATACAGTGTCTATTATTATGAAATGATGTAATCTTTCATTCAGCTATGAAAAATTCACAAGTTATTCACAATCAATCTTGTATGGTTGTTGGGTTAAACGTTTTTCTAATCTTTTAATGTTCGAAATGATTCTGAGCCAAGAAATAAAAAAAAATTAATGAACGTTAATATCAGTTTTAATGACCTGGAATCACATTTTACGGAGTGTTAATAAACATTAGTGGAGAAGTGTTTCTCTTAGATATATAAAGTAATACTTAGATTGGTTTCTCATGAAAAAACATTGGATTAAAACGTTCAGACCAGTTTATTGAGTGAATTACTAAAGCTAACAAATTTCAATTTTTCAGATATTTAAAAATGTTATTTTACATAGTAATCCCTTCATAACCTTTAATGCTATTACAAATGTAGTAATACCATCAATAATTTGTCATAAACTGCTTACTTCTATGTAAACTCATTTCCATCTTATCATGCTTATTCCGATGCACAATACCACAACAATAATTTTTAGCTGAACAATGTATATCTAATTCCCAAGTACTATCATATAGATTTTCTTTCATTTCGCTAATTTTGAGAGTTTTTTTTTGTTAGACACTTTATAGTAGTTCATCAAGTTATACTTGTTTTCATAAAGATAAATACTGGTATTTAGTGTTTATTTGCTTAAACTCGTTATTCTGTTATCAAATAACTCTTTGTCAAACCTTTAATATCTCTTATTTCTAATTTGTTTAATTCTTTTTATGTTAGTCATTATTTTACTGTTATATCATGTTTTAAAATGAAAACTGAATAATCATAGAGTTTGTTGGAAAAAATGAAACACATTCAAATTTCAGTAAACCATACTCATACTTGTATACAGTTGTATTCAAATCGTTTGAAGAAATACTTTTCAAACAGTTGATTTTTCCTCATTAATTTCTTTCAAAGTCAAACTTTTTCTTAATAAACACTGTGAGACATGTAAGTAGTTGGTTGTTTTCAGTGCTGTTTTAGAATATACTACAACATTATTGTTGTGTATATGTATTACGGTAGTTTTCAGATCAAATATAATTCTTAAAATGTATAAGGACAAAATATTTGAATGTCGTACTAGATTTTAGGCTCCTCACCTTCTGAACAGTTTTGAATGAATTTATAAGACTTGGCTGATTTATAGTTAACCTATTTTTGATAAGTCACGACACTAAGAACAGATGGATTGCACGTTGTTAACAATACATTTCATTTTTCAGCTAATCTACAAATATTTCAAAACAAAATGCTTAAGATATGTTTGTAAATTAGAATTTGGTTAACAAGATTAGTAGGTAATCTATAATAGTAATGTTCTTCCGTTGTGTAACGCATAGTTGACTAGTGTTTATCACAGCCCACCTTGAACTGAGAATTGTTAACATTAAAGTACATAATTTAAAAAAATTGCCATTAAGGATAATCTAACAAGTTTGAGATGCAAATGTTTATACTCAAAATATTTTGTAGCTAATAATAATTGTCATTTTATTTGCTGCTTTTATAAACCTACCCTATTATCAACACATATTGATTTAGTTTATTTTCATGCAATCAAAAGACAATAGACTAGTAACAATTATTAAGGTTTAATTGAGTAACAGGGTCTATGTCAAACTATAGATAACGTCATATTTGCTTGAAACAATAATCAATAAGTTGTTCAAAAACATTTCATCATGATACTAAGTGTAAAACCATACTGTTAATTACATTTTTCCAGTAGATGCAATTTTTTAACGTTGTCATAGTTTGTTGGTTTGTCAGCATACAATCATTAATTCATTTACATCAATGAATAACCATTAAACGATAAATGGATTTAATCTCATGTGTAATATGCAAGTCAAACATCTACTTGACTGTTCAAAAGCCAGAATGAATAGTATTTTTAATAATTAAAGGATACTGAGTAAGTCAATAGTCGAAGGCTGGTAACCTCATGTATTAGTAATTCACTTTCATACATATTCCTTTTTCTAAACGAATGAGATAAATCTAGGTAATTTCTCATTTAAATTATGGATCGATTGTTCAGCTCTTGAATCAGTTAATTTTCAAGCATTAGGAACATGTTCAAACCTTACAAAATATTCTTTTGTTTGAATAACCACATAGAGTCAATAATTTATACAGGAACGATATAACTTGAAATACCAGTACCTAAATCTTTACTTGGTAAGTAACATTAGTTTTAACAATATACATTATCGTTATTGATTGATTTTAGTAAATTATCTTGTTTTGTGTCACATGTATAGATTTTCTATACTATTGCTATTTTAGACCAACCTTGTTCTATATTAATTCACGTTATTGACCTAAGGACAACAAACATATTAGCAAACTAATATTTACTGTGTTTTTTTATAATATAAACATTCCTTTTTTGATACGACATTAGTGAGATAAATTTTGTTTTAGAATTTATCATAATTCACTTTAGTAAATAGTAAAATATCGAAATATAAGTTAAGTATTTAATTTTCTGAGTTGTAATAATTCATATCTATTATACATTTGTATTAGGCATTATCAAACTACTTCGAACTTGCTATAAGTATTTTAATGGTATAATAATGAGTTGCGTAATACAAAAGAACGTACATATTATAAATATCATCAGTATAGGGGTTGTGGAGATTATTAAGTTTTTTGATTGAGATCATGAACCGACTGATGTTAGGCCACCGTTGGAAACCTGGAAGCTCTGGATGGCCGTTTCGTCCTATTGTTGGACTCCTCAGTAGGGCGCATACACAATCCCCCTCGCGGGATTCGAACCTAGAGCCTTCAGTCTCTGGTTGATGTTAGACACCAACACCATTGGATGCTGGCTTAGTGCTCCAGTAGGTTAAGCATTCGCGCGCGAGACTGAAGGCCCTGAGTTTGAATCCTGCGAGCGGGGACGTGGATGCGCATTGCTGAGGAGTCCTACAGTGTGACGAAACGGTCGTTCAGTGCTTCCAGGTTTCCAACAGTGGTCTAACATCAGTCGGTTCATGATCCCAATTACAAATATCAGTTAGCTAGGCTTGTCTTTTACTAGTTCAGAAAATAATAAGCGAAATACAAAAAAAATAAAACTGTTTCATTTTGAGAAGAATCATGGTTCCACAAGATTGAAATTGTCTTTCATTAATTATAATGGCATATCAAATTTTCACGTGTTACAACATAAAATCATATATATATATTTCAAAAATAATATGAAAATACATTAATCTTTGTGATTTAGATACCATTTATGCTGTGTGATATACTTCAATCGAAAATTTATTTGTTTACTCATAAGTCGTTTGAAAAAAACTAGTAAACTCTTAAGAATGTAGAATAATCAACAATTCTAAGTGAAGATGGATAGTAGCTGGCAGTGGAATCCAGAACGTCCGTTTCGTCTCGTCAGATGGATGTACCTGCATCCCTGTGTTGATGTTTACTTCGGGACTAGGAACAAGTACTGCTCTCTTCAAACGCCATCGCGTTATCCACTTAGCTAATGTGTCTTAAAAAGTCCCAAAATAGGAAGAAACGCGCGTCCTGAATTCCACTGCTAGCTACTATCTATCTTTACTTATAAAGATTGTGACTTAAGGCATTATCGAGGCAATTCGAATAGGGTGTACATATGCCAACAAGAGACTGATCGATTGCAGTCCTAAGCAACAATTGGAAGATATGTGCAAACAACACCAAGTGAATTTTAAGTGATTATCAATAAAAACTATACTGAGCTAACAATTACGTAAAGACGGGTTAATATACTTACAAATTAAGTTATAGTCCTGGGTTTAAGCCTTGAACACTATAAGGAAATCCCATACTAAGACAAAATGCCTGTTTTTAATGCTCCTTGAAATTTTATAATTTCTTAATCGAGCTCAATCTGTGAAAAATATATCGTTCATCAATAATAAATACATTGAGATTATTTTTGTATATTTTGATCTCTTCTTCACTTTCGACCTGGCATTGAATACATATAAGTATTTGTAGATAGATAAACATGAGAAATATTCGAGCTTTATCAAACATGAAAATCTATTTCCAGGTTAAATAAGGTTAGTGATTTAAGCTGATGGGATTGATTCAATCAAATATTTCTATCGTTTCATTTACACAAAAAGAAATTAAAAAAATTTGGTTAATATGAATTAAAAGAACGAGAATCTCAAAGTGATATACATATATTTCATGGATTATTTTTTTTAAAAAAAAGCATATAGGAATAGACAGATAGTTTCCATTTAAACATTAGAATTAAAACACGAATTTCGGCAAAAAACAAACAGTACCATGTTTTTAGTTAACTGAGCATAGCAACGACAACTTTTCAGTTATTTGATTTATCAGACCTTTGTATATGTAATACTCATTTTAACAATATGGCAAGCCCACATATCAATACATGTGAGTCAAATAAGTTTTATTCATTTTCAACAAATACACTTTAACTTTGATTTTTTTCTAGTTTATTATCAATAAAGTGTTCTTTATAGATTATGTTTTAAAAAAAGTTTTCAACGAGTATTACGTAATTTCTCACTGACTTTATTGCTACATGCTTCTTAATAATTATTAATTACAACTAAGCTACCATTTAGATAAAGATTTTACAACAAAATAATATTTACCATAGAACTATTACAAAATAAGAAACACTGAATATTTAGTCGGTTTTACTTTCAGTATCTTTATCAATGCATTAGTAAGATTAAGATTGAATCCTTGACTTTCAGTCATTGGAAGGAATACAATACTTTGAAACTCATTGATTCATCTTTCGAACTTAATTTTTATGTTATACAGCTGGATTACTGTGGTACCATTTTACTTGTCATTACGAAATTAGAATTTTAGTAAATTCATTTCGAACTTGGTCATT